TATGTTCTTAAGGGGAAACCTATAAAAAATAAGTAAAAAAAAAAATCGACAAATATAAGACATTGCAAAACTTTGAGCTGTCAAGGGAATAAGTATGGAGTAAAGAATAATGGGCCACCTACTTTAGAGAGTTGCTGAAGCCGTTCCCTCTGAGGAGGTGACAGAGCTGAAGGATGACAAGGCTCTGTATAAAGAGAGAGAAGAAATTTCAAGAAATGGGAGCAACAGGTGCAAAGGCCCTGAGGCAGAGAGATGTTTGGCTCGGTTAACGAACCAAAAAAAGGGAGTCCGGCAGGACGGGAGTATAAGGGGCGAGTAGCTTGGCATGAAGTTGGAGACTCAAGACCTTGGAGGTCACGGCAAAAATCTGGATTTCATTTAAGTACCACAGGAAGGCTTTGCAGGGCGGTCCTCTCCGCCAGACAGTGTTTTGCAGCTTCCAACTTGCATTTGGCCCACTGTGGCTGCCCTGGTCCCACGGCTGCCCCGTGTCCATTCTGTCCTGCTCTCAGCAGCCAACTAGCAATTGCCCCTGGCCTCTTAGTTAAAAGTCCCAGTAGAGATCCTCTGATTGGCCTGGCTTACCTTTTGGGTTTGGTCACAAATCCTGGACCCCTGGCCATGGGTGGAGTAGTGGGCCTCAGGCTGGTGCCGGCCTGTGAGCTCATTGGCTGTGGCTCGGGGGACCGAGTCCTGTCTGTAATACTGTGAGGTTCACCTACTAGACGCTGTGGATGGAGCAGGCCATGATACAAGCCCTGGAGGAGCTAGTTCCAGAGGTAAGACTTAGGGACTAGTGTGTCCCTGGATTCCTAACTTATTAAACTTCTGAAGGTACGAGTTGGATTCGGCCTAATGTATCCCTGAGTAAAACTCTTAAATGGCTCTTGATGAACGCACTTAGGGCCAAAATCCAGAATCCTTAACCAACCTATAATGCTGCGTCCTCTGGACCCAGCTTTCTTTTCTTCCCTGATCTCACCTGATGCTGCTTTTCTCCCCCCTCTGTGTTCCAGCTTACTGGCTCCCTCCCCCCTCCATCTCTCGGGCCTCAGGGCCTTTGCACACATTGCCATTCCTGCCTCCACACTTCCTTCTCTTCACGTGGAGAACTCCAGCTTTTCTTTAAGTCTGACCTTGATATTCTTTCTCTTCCTTTATGACTCTGCAGAGGTAGAGACCCCTGTTTATGTCCCCTCCTACTTCTTGCACTGTGTTTCTCTTGTCATGGCACAGATCACAGTTTAAAATGATTGATCTATGTGGTCGCTTGTTTGAGGCTTGTCTCCTGCTAGGCTGAGCCTTCCATCAGGACAGTGGTCCTCTCTGTTGAGATTCTGGCTGCTGTGGACATAAAGTAGGTGCCCGATAAAAAGTGCCGGGAGGAGGGATGGATGAGTGGGTGAATGAATTCGGAGGAGTGAGAGATTATATGGTCTGGAAATTCCCTAAAGAATTCATGGGAAGTGCCGGGTGTGGTGGCGCAGGCCTGTCATCCCAGCGGCTCAGGAGGCTGAGGCAGGAGGATGGCAGGTTCAAAGCCAGCCTCAGCACCTTAGCGAGGCCCTGAGCAACTGAGCGAGACCCTGTCTCTAAATAAAATATAAAAAGGGATGGAGATGTGGCTCAGTGGTTAACCCCTGGGTTCAATCCCTGGAGAAGAAGGAGGAGGAGGAGGAAGAGGAGGAGGAGGAGAAGAAGAAGAAATAAGAATTCATGGAAAGCATGAACTTTGATCTTGGCCTTGAAGAATGGAGAAGATTAGGTGATGGCAACCATTTCAGGCAGGGATAATGATTATTGGTAAAGGCAGAGAATTGGGAACAGTGCGGATAGAGCCACGGTGCCTGATAGAGCAGTGGACACTGGCCTGGTTAGAGCAGAAATGTGTGCAGTCAAGATATGGAAGATAAGGTTGTTTAAATGCAAAGAGACCCAAATAGAAAAAAAAAGAAAAAAGAAAAAACCTGAGGAGTGTCTTAAATAGTAATTGCTAACATTTATATGGCGCTTACGATGTTCTAGGTTCTTTTCCATGTGCTGTAGGCACATAAACTCTTTTAATGCTCACAACAAATCTATGGAGTGTTACTTTGGTGCCCATTTTACAGACTGGGAAGCTGAGACCCAGGGAGATTATCTCACCAGAGATCTCGTGGTGGACCAACACAGAGCTGGAGTTCAAATGTGGGCAGCTGCAGCCACAGAGGTTTAGACAGGGGTTGGCCCAAGCTGCCTCTGTCCTCTGCAAAGGTGACGTGCCAGCAGACGGGTTCTGGGGGCCTCACATTAAGAAAACATGCAAGAGAGACCCCAGGATTCTAGTTTGAGCTTGCCAGAAGGATGCTGCTCATCCAGGAGTGAGAGATCTGAGCAGAGAAGACGGATGGAGCAGGACCTGCCTGAGGCCTGACCAGGAGAGCTCAGGGGGCAGCTGTGGCCGGACTCGGAAGCCAGGCAGCCACGGGTCTGCACGGTGGCACTCCGACTTTCCTGTCTACTTGCAAGTTTCAACATCTATCCGGGTGGTTTTAATAAAGTAAGATGAAATAAGCGACATTCGTAGCCCATGTTTGACACGTRGGGAGATGACCTTGTGTGTGGAAGCCCTTCACAGGGGTTTGGAGGACAAGGCTGGACCACGATCCTGGCTGCGGTCTGGGAGGGTGAGGCACAGGTACCCCGAAGCTCCCCAGGTCAAAGGCTTGCAGGGGACAGACCGAGAGGGTGCGGGGGAGTCTCCCAGGACTCAGGGACCCGATTCCCTCTTGCAGCTGCGTGGCTCTGCAGAAAGGCCTTTCCCCTGCCTCCAGGGCTGGTTCCCTAATAGTTAAGGCTCTGGAACCTTCCTACCCCAAATCAGCTTCCCATATGCACCTTTTTTTTACAAACTCCTAGGTCTAGGGTGGCTGGAATCTGCTGCTTCACACTTATGGTGCATTTCCTATTTCCTAGAACTCTGAGGTCCCCATCTCCGGGGCTGGCAGAAGCCACTTGTCCCCAAGAGAGGGAGGAGATGCTCAGGAATCACAGAACATTGCATTAGGCACTGAGGAAGAGGTCCCCTCTCCAGTTCTCCTGCTGAAGCATCTCCTTTCAGTGTCAGACCCTAGCACTGTGCTTCTGCCCTGGCCACCCCCTTAGGACAAGCAACAGCTGGGAGATTACATGGTTGGTCTGTGCCATTTGCTTATGGCAAATAATTCCAAATTTCCCTTTTCGAGCAGTGAAACTCTAAGATTACCCTCCAATAAACATATTTTTGAAGGGGAAGAGGGAGTCCACTTAAAGATAAAATGAGGTTAAGTCATTGTCCGAGGGGAATGGAGATCTGAAAAAATCTCGTCAAATTTGGACTCAGATGACCGAGGTCTAGAAGATGTGGCTACAGCGAGGGTTCGTTCCCCGTAGGAAGCAGAGGCTGAGGTTTAAATGCCAGCCATGCTAATTAGCACCTAAGAGGCCCTCTTTGAGCCTCCTTTTCTTCACCTGTCAAAACGGAGACAGTAATTCCGACCGCATGTGGTTGTTTTGAGGATTAAATGAGATAATTTGATGTCTATGTCATTTGCATGTAATGACTCTTCAGTGTCAAGGGAAATTTCTTTTTTCCAGTGTGCACTTCATAATAAAAGCCACTTTATACTAAAAATCACCGTGTGAGGGTGCATATGAGTTTCTCAGCCCATAATAATAATAAAAATCTGGACATGTGGTCAAATCTGGACCTGTCCCATATCTTTCTCCCTCCAGTTTCTTAATTGGTCAATAAGAATATTACTAACACTGTCCCCATGGGGATACTGGGGATCAAATGATTTGACACACGTGGGGCACTAGATGGCTATACCAGGGAACTGTCATCTCCTAGGTCGGTGACCCTGCCTCCTGCTGCCATTGGAGTCCTACACGGGAAAGGTCTTTGAACGGCAGCGTGCTGGGTGTGGGCCTAAATGCTCTAGGAAGTCATTGCTGGCAGAGGGGACATATTCTCATACTGTCTAATGTCAAATATTCAAAATATTCAGCTCTCCTTCCCCTCTCTCTCTTCCCAGAGACTTCAGAACCTGCCAGAAGTGGTCTCCTTCCTTCCCGCCACGTAGAATAATTTCCATTTGGTTTTTATTATCCTGCATCCGTGCTTGGCTGTGGCCTGAAGCAGGTCTCTGTCTCCCTGTACCCTCAAATTCCTAGGTTGAAGCCTCAACCTCCAGTATGATGATATTGGAAGGGGGGTGCTTTGGGAGTTCATGAGGGTCAGATGAGGTCACTGAGGGTGGGCGCCCCATGAAGGCATCAGTGGCTTTTTAAGAAGAAGAGAGAACATTCTCTTCTCACTCCGTGAGTCCACAGCAGGAAGGCAGATGTCCACAAGCCAGCAGAAAGCCCCTCCCTGGAACAAGATCTGCTGGATCCTTGATCTTGAACTTCCAGCTTCCACAAGTGTGAAAAACCAATGTGTATTGTTTAAGCACTGAGTCTACACGATTGTGTGATAGTCGTAGGAACTGACTAGCAATATCATGCTTAGCCTGACTACAATCCATCTAAACATTTAAAAACACACATTGGTTATCTATAACGTGCTCATGGTTTTATCTGTAGCATTTTATTCAAGCCTCAAAACTCTGTGGAGGAGAGAAGGACGATCACATTCCATTTGACAGATCAAGTCTGAGACTGGAGCTCAGGTGACTTGCCCGAGGTCCTAGAGCTACTGTGTGCCACAGTGAGACCTCAAATGCCACCGTTCCCACGACCCCGGAGGACACACTGACTCTGACATCTACAGGGAACACCTTGCTGGCCTCAGAGGAGGCAGAGAGGATCCTTGCTGTAGAGGCTGGAGCGGGACTGAATGAAATTCAGCTTCCAAGAGGCAGATGAACCCAGGGGGTGGCAGGTGAGTGAGCTCCTGTGGGAAGCACCCAGGAAAAAAAAAATCAAAATAAAAAGGAAAAAAACAAAAACAAAAACAAAAAACCACCCCAGCTCGTTGATTACGACAAGGCAAAACCTTTAATAACATGAGTGCTCATTACATCAGCTGCTTCGGACTCTGACATCTTTGATTTCCGGTCATGTTATTATTATTATTATTATTATTTTTCCTAACACTTAAAGGTGAATGCCTCCCTCAGGGCCACCTGGGCGGTGGTGGGTTTCCTGAGGATCTGTGTTGGGTGGACAAATGGGGACAGCTACGCCGGCACCTGCTGGGAGATTGGCAGATCCCCCCCTCCCCTCTGGCCACCACCCTGTGACTTTTAATAAAGTCCTCTCCCAAGGAGGGAAGAACAGTGGAGGAAGGAAGGAAGGAAGGAAGGACAGAAGGACATGTGGGCACAGATACACAGAGGGGAGGGAGGGAGGGACGACAGGAAGGGATCCGGTTGGGGAGGTGGGGAATGGAAAGGTGGGGGTCCTGTGGGGATGGGGTGGGGTGGGGGGACCCCCGTGGGACAGGGCGGAGTCCATTTGGTTTTCATTTCTTTGTGAGAAGTAAGAACCATCACGAGGACCATGCCATGCAACCTTGGAGACGTCTGTGGACACTGCGCCCCCGCGGGCGGTGCTGGGCGCGGCCAGCGGCGTGCGCTCACACGGGCGTGGTGCGCCTGTTGGCCGGGTTGTTGTGCAGCGACTCTTTGAACTCTTTGGGCGTGGAATTGTGGAACTGTAGAAAAGCGTGGTCCCGGTCCGAGTTGAGGAGGGTCCCCATGGTGATCTTGGAGGGGTCCCGGGACAGGGTGAACATGGAGATGTCGGTGGAGGGGATGGTGTGGAAGCCTTTGCTGATGGGGGACAGGTCTCGGGAGCGCGGCTCGGTGGAGCGGGAGCTGGACCTCCTCCGGAACCGGTACCTGTAGGGCGGGAGGCGGGCGAAGGCGGACTTCTTGAGGAGCTCCGAGTGCGATTTGGCGCGCAGCTGCTGGTGTTTCTCGATGTAGATGTGCACGGCCACCACGCCCACGATCTCGGCGATGATGAAGGAGAAGGCGCCGAAGTAAAAGGACCAGCCGTAYGAGTAGCTTTTCTTGGAGTCACGCTGCCCGGGGTCTCCGGCGTTGGCTGATATATAAACGATGATGCCAATGATGTTGCTTAAGCCTGAGAAAAAAAGTGGAAAAGAAAAAAAAGACACACACAYACGCGTGTGGCATAAACCCTCCAAGGTCAAGGTCACTTTTGGTCTTGGAATATGGATAGAAAATGCAGAATTAAGGTGGGGAGGGGAAGAGACATGGATAATGGCTAAGAAAATCCTCGGGCTGAGCTCCTCTTGCGAGGTCTGTGTCTTGGGAAGTGGGGAATTTCTGCGGCTCCCATCCTGGGCTGTGCCCCTTCAGGTCAAGATGCCATCCTACTTCTCTAGCAAGGGTGGTAGCACTCAGGGGGACCTCGGTGTCCCCTTAGAAACAAGGCAACACTGAATCTTTGGCTTTAAGTCATGAGAGTGATAAAGCGAACCAGCGACTGACCCCTGCCCTCGAATTTCTCACCATTGGACGACTGGATAAATGCCATCGGAGCAGAATACGGTAGAAACTTTACTGGAGACACTTAGGAAATGATTCAGAGGCAAAGGGGGAGAGAGAAAGGCTGAACATTTTGCTTTGAAGATGAGGCCACATGGGAGCCAGATCCTGCAGCTGAGAAAGAAGGCTGTGGACCGTGGAGCACCAGAGAGGGACCAAGAATGACCGGCTAGTCAGCTTGGGTGACTGGGAGGCTGGTGGCATCTCAAACTAAAATAAGAGGCAGCCAACAGACCATGTTTAGAGAACAGAGATTTGGATACACCAAGTTGAAAGCGTTGGGGGAGACATCCACCACTGGATGTCTACGGATCTGGGGCTGCAATTTGGGGGAACTAATAAGCTCAGGGGGCAGGGACAGTCGTTGACCATCTTTCTGTCTGTGCGGAAGAAGATAACCAGTCTTGGGTTGGCTGATGTTTGAGTGTCAAAAATTGGGGGACGCAAAGCTGTTTGCCCCCAAAGGCGAGGTCTGCAGACTTAGTTTCCCCCAAGTGCCAACAGAGTAGCATTGGGAAGCTCAGTTCAGCCCATCGGAGAGAAATAGATTCGCTAGAAGATGACAAGAAGGGACAGGAATCTCTAAGGGCTGTGTTCATCTCRGGTACCTTCCCACATTATTACCCCGGATGGGAAATGTCTCTTTTGGACCCTCTACTCATGGGGTCTCACTCAGACTTGGTGCCAACAGCGGCCCCAGGAGGTTGACATACTGCCTGGCAATTAGTGCTAAATGGAATCTGTCCTGCATGATCGTTCCCAGCACCAGTTGGTAAGGAATCCTTTCCAGAAGATTCCTGAGTCCTCCGAACGCTCTTTGAACCCTCCGTATTCTTTCTGGGTCTCCCCTAGATCTCCCCCAAATCAAGCAACTAAGGGCTAAAGCTTGGCATGTCAGGGCCACAGCATCTGCTCAAGTGCTACCATGTGATCGGCMGGAGCACCTGGGTGACGGGTATCATTAATATTTGGGGTGGGACCTCTGCTTATGCTCCATCTAGGACCTGGCCCTCAGGGGCAGGGCTGGGGTCTGCTCCTGCCGTGGGTCCTCTTGGCATGACTGGGYCCAGGCCTTCATCAGGGACTCAGCAAATGCTAATCACCTTGCTATTTGTCACTCGGAGGGTTGGCACATCCTGCTCGGTGTCAGGCTGCAAGGGACCTGACAGGATAACAAACGGTCCCCCTCTTCCTGGAGTGTCAATTTGGCTGGAAGATTAGTAAGGAAGGCACATTCTTTTATATTAAAAGGAACACGGATATAATAAGGAGGAGAAAGCAGAATTCACATGAATTTTTAAGTAAAATGAGAAGCTGACTTCAAAGGCATTTTCGCTCCCTGAAGGCGGCTGCTAGAGATGCCCCCTGATTCCCCAGGGCCATGTTTGCTCTCTCCACCACCAGCAGGGAAATTTTGGTGGTAAAGTTTAGGAACCCCTCCACTCCCCAAAGGGGTCTTGCTGGGGGTTGGGAATAAAAAAGAAAGAAAAAGAAGTTCAGAAAGAGGCTCAGATGTCAACCTGGGTTAAAGAGGCAGGAAGCCAAGTGAACTGTCAGTCATTTATGGATAAGGCACTAACTCTGTGCCAGGCCTGATTTTCTTATTTTTTAATTATTCCCCTTTTGCAGATAAGGAAACGGCAGAACTTAAGTTCTTTTTTGGTACTGGGTATTGAACCCAGGGGGACTCGATCACTGAGCCACATCTCCAGTTATTTTTATTTATTTATTTTTTAAATTTTGAGACAGGGTCTCCCTAAGGGTGGCCTCGAACTTGTAGTCCTCCTGTCTCAGCCTCCTGAGTCACTGGGATTACAGGCTTGCGCCCCTGCACCCAGCTCCAAGTGGAACTTGAAGCCCCAGCTCAGCGGTGGTAGTARATTTAGATTTCAGTGGCTCAGGAGGAAGAAGGTGTGAGTGGGCAGTGTCTTGGTCCCACCTGTCTGACTGTAAACTTCCTGAGGGTAGGAAATAGGTTTGCTCATTGCTATGGCCCCAACTCCTAGTCCAGAGCCTGACCTAAAGCAAGCATGCTCCAGAGATCATGTTATTATTATTATTATTTTTTTATGCCCAGTGCCTGGAACACAGTAGGTGCTCAATAAATGGCTGTTGATTTTTGAAGTTGAGCAAAAAGAGCCCTAGAGAGTGTTGAATCCTCCATTTCCCGCCATTTTATAAGTGGAAAAAAAGCCCTGAGACTCTTGGGGTTCCTGGGGGAGGTTGGTGGAGGGGTCTAGGTGTAGACCYCAAGCTCTGGGATCCCCCTCTGGGCCCTCCAGTTCCTCTGAACCTAATCTACCTGCCATGTCTCATGATGGCCCTCGTGCGGACAGAGTTGCTGGYGACACAGGCCTCCCTAACAATCCCCTTGGGGGATAAAATAATGATCTTCTCTTGTTCTTGGGAAACTGTCACATCAGCACAACACTGGTACTGAGGCTCTGGCTCGCTGGGAGCCAGGAGGGGGCCGACCAGTTACAGAAACGTGCCTCGAAGCAAAACAAGTCCCTGGGTTTGCCAGTCGGGAACATCTGTCCACCCAGAGCCCGGAGAGAGGCCACAGCCACCCTGGGGTGGCTTTCTCCCTGGCCTGTCACTGTGGTGGCTTCCCAGAGACTCGGCCAGATGGTTCTCACATCCTCACTTTGTAGAAGGGTACCCAGTGGGGAAGGGACCGGAGCAGGGATTTACAGGGTCCCCGACTTTGGAATATGTTAGGAATTTATTGAGAAGTAACACTGTGGTCCTTTTGACTCAGTCTCYTTCCAACCACCCCAGGAAGTTGATACGATTATCATTTCGCCATCTCCCAGCTGARGAAACCAAGTTACAGGGTCTTGGTGACATTTCCCAAGGCCACGTAGGATTCAAACCCAGGAGGACCCCTGTCTTGTTTATCACCCTCTCTTAGCCTTCCTTGTCCCCACCTCAATCAACATCCTGCCATTGCAGCTCTGCTAAGCCATAGGTTCCCTTTCCAGGGTTTTATCCGTGTGCGGTCTGGAAATATCACATAGAAAATTCCAGAAAAAAAAAGCAATTCATAAGTTTTAAAGAACTTTTATCAGCATAGATTGTTATGTCTCTTCTGTTTTTATTGTTCTATATTAGTAATAGAATATATTCTTAAATAGATTTGTTAGAATCTCATTAACAAATTAAACTTTATCATAAGTTGTGTTTGGGTAGGAAAACGTGGTCCACGGAGGGTTTGGTGCTATCTGCAGCTCCGGCATCCACCAGAGGTCTTGGAAAGTGTCGCCTGTGGATACCTGGGGACTAGAGTGGTGTTCAAACCTTGGAAGGTCGTCCCTGGTGAGAAGGTAGGTCCCCTCCTCCCCAAACCCTGCCTGGTCCTTCGATCCTCTGTCACATCCCATCAAAGGGCACCGGTGTGTCTTGAGAGGAGTGGGGTTTACGATAAGCCCGTTTCAAAGGTCCAAGGTCGGCACGGAGCATGCCCAGGGGTCAGAGAGGTGCAGCCCTGGCAGATACATCCAATCTGCTCCGGGTGCCCGCTTCCAGCTGCAGGCTCAGCATCTTTGGTTTTGATGAAATTCTTCGTGGGCTCTGCTTTAGCACAACGAATTGCACATTTTATTTTATTTTATTTTATTTTATTTTATTTTATTTTTGGCTCTTTCCTGGAGGGGACCCTGGGGTAGCATGGCTCTGTCCACCTGGCTTCAGGTTGGGGGTCTGTGACGATCTCGGGGCTGGGGCGAGACACTCACCTGCAGACACAAAGAAGATGCCCGCGCTGAGGATGACATTGTGCCGGCTGCGGTGGAACTCGCTGGCCGCCACGCAGAGCCCCCCGAAGAACAGCAGGGTGACGCTGAGGATGGGGAAGACGCTGGAGGCCCTCACGGCCCCTGTGGGGAGACAGAGAGAGGCCGCATCCTGCACACCGGCCGCCCAGGGTCCCCCTGCCAGGGGCATGGGGGTCCCTGAGGGGAAGACGGGACAGAAGCTGCAGAGCGAGGCCACATGTGATGTGGGCACAGGCCAGTGCCCTCTGCTCAGGGACCCGAGCTGGGAAGGGGTTGGCACTCTGCAGTCACCGTCCTGAGAGTCTTAACAACCTTTGTCTCTGAATCCGTGTGCTGGAAGCCAAGTCCCAGGGCACACAGGGCTCTGAGCTGTGAGCTTTGAGCCTTGGTTCACAACTTCTCTACTGCCCACTCCCCAGCTCCCCAACTCCCTGGGCCGGGTTTTCTGTCCTCTCCTGCTTCTGCTCGGTGACCACTATCATCCTTGGTCCCTGCTATGGGCCTGTGCATATAAACACAGGGAGAATCAGGGTCAGGTGTAAGCCCCAGGCCCTTGGGAGGGTTAGCACTCACTCTAACAGTGTCCCCAGGCCCAAGGGAGTGTGACATTAAACAACCAATAGAAAGTGCTATGACAGGTCAGAAGAGAGATTGCAGAAGACAGTAAAGGATTTTTTTCCCCCTGCATTTTGAACGAGGAGCCTGAAATCTTTATTTTGTACTGGGATCTGCAGATAATGCACCCAGCCTRGAATGCGGGGACTCCCATCAGAACATTCGATGCTCATCACATGCAGAATCTTCCCCAGCACACACCTGCATTTGTGCMACGCAGAGCCTGCTCTTATCCATTGAAAACCCATTCAGTCACTGAATGAGCAAATGGATTTATTCTCTCGACACGTACTTATTGAGCACCTACTAGATTCCAGGTGCTCTGCTGGCTGCCAGGAGAGTAGCAGGAATGTTTAACAACCACAGAGGCACGGGCACTTTATGTTTTGAAGGTGAAGCTGACAGAATTTGCTGATGGAGCAGTTGTGGACGGGAGAGAAAAAGTTCTGTCAGCCCCAGGCAATGGTGGCATCTGTGTTGACAAAGGAGCAGCGTGAGGGTGGGGCAGGGAGGGAGGCAGCTCTTTTGGGCCATGGAGGACTCACAGCTGTTTGCGTTACTCAGTGTTCTAGGCTAGACCACAGTGGAAGTGGTCTAGCTCCRGGTACTTCCATTCACCACCCAAGAGATGCTCAAGACCCCAGGGACAAGAACTCTCTCCACAGCGTCATGATTGTGTTTAAATAAATTAAAGAAATGCTTGCTTGCTTGTTTTTTACCTTCAGATTTCTGAAAGTTTGGTAACCAATGTAGCCAGGATTATCTGAAGGGGACAGTGGAGGAGCCCTGGGGTCAGGAGCTGAGCTCACAGGGGTAGAGAGAAGACAGAATGCTTCCAGCATTTGATTCAATCTGGCTGCCCCATGTGACCCAACGCAAGGGTCTGGGCTGTCCAGGGCCCCAGGTAACTCTGTCCCTCTTGATCCTTAGCTGCGATGGTGACATTTTGGGAGCAGTTTCAAACTGCCTAGAAACCTGCTAGAGGAAGACGGGCATGGAGGAGAGGATCCTGCCACCCTGTCACCCTGGGGACATGAAGGGATCAGTTCCTTGTGGGCTTCTCGCCTGGGCTAGCTGTTCTGAAGATCCTTGCTCACACACTGGCTTGGGTTGGGGCTCAGAGAATGGTAACGCGGGAATACAATGTTTTTTGTTTTTTTTTTCCTGCATGTTGAGTAATTTGATCTAAAGGAAATGAAGAGGCTTTCAAAGAGCAACTTCAGCATTAAAGGTCCCTCTGCCCTTGTCTCCTCCCCATCCCAGCCCCACGCACACCCTCGTCCTTCTGCACATTTCCCTTGTCTGCCTCAGGTCCAGGCCCGMTAAAGAGGAAGCCGTTACCTTGGGTTCCTTCCTGGGTTTTCACTCACTAAACTCATTTCACAGGAAAAAAGACTTGAGCCTGTCAACACACCTGGACGGACTTCGGTCACACACCATGGCCTCTATTTTAGTCCCAGAGGGAATCATTTACAATCCAGCCTGTCCTTCCTGCCAGACCCCACCCCAGGTCACCGTGTGCTCTCCAGGCTCATGGAGTCCCCTGAAAAATCATTTACCTCATTTACGGGGCCCCCTACTCCCTCCCCAGCCAAAGGGGTATAGAAAGAAGCTTCTCCATCACGTTGCACAGGGCTAAGCACATTCCTGTGGTTTTCCAACACGTTGTGATGTTTTTTTGCTTGTTAATAAATTGGCAGATTATTTCTCCCATTTCTTATGTCTGTGAGATATTATGTCAGTGTTGTGGTTTGGACATAAGGAGTCCCCCCCACACCCCAAAGCTCCTATGTCCCTTCGGGAACGTTCAGAGATGAAATGATCCCATGAGGAGAGCTGTCACTGAGTCTGTGGATGGATCCACGGGTGGCTGGTGATTTAGACAGTCACTGGGTGGTAACCGTGGGCAAGTGGGGCGTGGCTGGAGGGAGCAGGTCCCTGGGAGCCTGCCCTTGGGGGTATCCTGTTCCCTGGGGACCTTGTGCTCTCTGTTCCTGGCTGCACAGGAGCAGTGCTCCTCCGCCATGATGGTCTGCCTCACCTTGGGCTCAGAGCGATGGAGTGAGCCGACCATGGACCTCGGAAACCATGATCCAAAATGAGCTCTTCCTTTGCTAAGTCATTCTTACCAGGTATTGTGGTCACAGCAACAAGACACTGACTGGGGCAATCAGCTTATTTCCACGGACCTTCAGAGGGCAGAGGGCCAGTTTCCCTTCACCCTGACACTTACAGGGGACAGGCTCACCTTGGTGTTCGTTAGCCCCCAGGTAAGTGGTGTCATCTCAGGGCATGGGCTCTGCCGTCCTGAGTGTGGATGGAACTGACTTCTTATGAACCCAGATGTGGGAGAGCAACTCATTGATAATTTCTAAAAATTTACAATGTCTGGCCTGCGGGTTTCCACTTGGACTCTTGGCCTGGAACCCCCCAAAATGATTCAGGGGGTGGGATCCACCCCCTCCAGTGGCTTCAAGCGCCCCTTTGGAACTTGCGAACTAACCTTTAACGTAAACACTTGCTTTGCGTATTGACAGGAATCACTTGAATATTCAAAGAGATGAATTTACTTGGTGAGAGAGAGAGAGAGAGAATCCTTTACAAATTCTTTTTTTTTTTTTCAAAAAATGATTAACCTTTGAAATGTGCCCCAAGGAAAAGATCTGAACACTTGAAGCAATTGACTCACGTTGGCTGTGACAGTGCACATTTGCAACGTGTGAATATGTGACATGTAAACGTGGCAGTTTTCAAAGTGGCAAAGTAACCATTAAGTAACTTTTAATGAACAAGAAAGACATGAACAGATTCTGTCATCTCTGGCTACAGGTGTCTGTAAGGCAGGATTTTCTTTTTTTTTAATCTGCTGACATTTTCTCTGAGTAGGTTGGAGTCCACCCTGTACGGTTTAGCCCAGGGGTCACATGGTAGCTTCAGAACAAAAAATACATATATTGTCTTTTTCCCCGTTTCTCCTTCTCAAGGTCTCTCTCCTGGTTTGGATCTGGAATGTTCCCTGAAAGTCCGCGTGTTGAAAGCTTGGTCCCCAGTGCAGCCAGGGCAGAGGTGCTCTGGACTTCTGGGCACTGATTGGACCCTGAGGGGCTCTGACCCCATCAGTGGGTGGATGGATTAATCCATTTTCAGMTGAATGGGAGTTGGGGGGGGAGCTGCAGGAAGTAGGTCACTGAGAGCCTGTTTTGGAGGGGTCTGTCCTCTCCCGGCCCCTTCTCCCCCCCCCACTCCTTCCCGGGGTGCCGTGAGCTGAGCAGCCCTCCCCCTTCAGGACCTTCCAACACGATTTCTGCCTTGGAACCAGCTGACCACGGACTGCGTGTCCTGAAGCCATGAACCGGAATAAATCTCCCATCCCTGAAGTCAGGTGTTTTGGTCACAGTGATAGAAAGCTGACCACCGCACTGGCTGGAGCTCAGGGAGCGCCTCAGGGCGGGGAGGTAAGCTTCATCCAGGGTCCTTCCACAAAGGCCCTGGTGACCTTAGGAGATGAAGAAGTGGGACCCCATCTGGCACACTGGCTTTATCTCAGCATGTGATAGTCTCCTCCATGCCATGCAGACAGGAGGCCCTCATCCGAGGCTGAGCAGACACTGGCACCATGCTGTTGGACTTTCCAGCCTCCAGAACTGTGGGCCAAATAAACCTTTATTCTTTATAGATTACCTAGCCTCAGGCATTTTGTTATACCAATGGAGAGCAGACTGAGACATACGGGTTTAAGCTGCAGCCTACCCCAAAGGGCACATGAAWAAGGGAATAGAACAAAAAAATCATGTGCAGAGGTCTGATTCCATCAGGACTGTGGGTCCCAACAGAATTAGCAGCCTATATACTCTTGGATGGGCAAGGAATCCCTGCAGGAACAAGGCTCTGGTCTTCCGTGGCTGAGTCGAGGATTCCAATACTCCTGACCTGTGGGCTCTTTTAAGGTCCCTCCTTTGACTTAGCCAGATGGTGTGGAGATTGGTGACGACGCTTACGGGAACCCTGAGGTGGGCTGAGAGGAGATAAAGGAACAGAGGGGAGAAAAGCATTTTGATGGAAAAGYAATTGACCTCTCCAAAGAACTTAAAAAAATCAATTTTCCGAGTTGTGCTATAGCAGTCACGGTTCTGTTGACCCTTCAACAGAGCAAACATCAAAATGTTTCGTCCAGGCAGGAAAGAAAAACAAGGATCAGCTGTGGGCGCTCCTGTGAAATCCCACCGGTTCTGACGTCCAAGCTACTCTCTTTTGAGGAGGTCCAAGTTCTACCCTCTGGAGATTTTTTGGAAGCATGTATTTGAGTTGAAGGAAATGCCTGAGATTTTTCTCCTTAATGCAATATCCTAAGCTTTGGATCAGCTGCATCTCCAAATGTGGTTTTGACTTTGCACACCAGATCTATTTGAGCTGCTGATATGAGGGGGTTTGAAGAAAGATGAATAGTGTGTTCCGTGTGCAAAGTGGGCCTAGGCACGACGATTCTTTTCATATTAGCTCTTCCACAATAACTTTTTCCTGTTACGTTATTAAAGGTTCATAGGTAGATTCAYGGCCATGATGTGATTCTAGATGCCATATGCATCTAGAATCACATCATGATGAAAGATGAAAATGATTTTAATTTAAAAATTCTCCTTCCTTCCTTGCTCTCTGCTACTGGGGCTAGAACCCTGGGCCTCCTGCCTGCTAAGCGCGTGCTCCACTTCTGGGATACATCCCCAGCCCCCAAACACTTGAGGCAGGAGTTAACACACAGAAGCTGAATAGGAAAATTTCTTGGAGTTTTAATTTATAATCACCGTTTTTAAAAAAATAATCACCCGACGTCTAACACTTCTGAAGAGCAAATTAATCAACGCCGGTGAAATTTTCCTTTTGAGTGATCTGAAAACAGGATCTTGAAGAAATGACKTGTAAACCCCAAACCAAGTTCCCTCTGGGCTGGGACCAGTTTGACTTCTATTCTTCTCTTGAGCATAAACTTGACTAAACTCATTGTGTGTGTTTGATGATCSTGGTGGGTGTTTGTTAACTATCCAATTAACCAATCTCTAGGGCAGTTAATGGCTCTGTCAATTCTTATAAATGACAAGCAATACCTCGGTTCTGCGGCTGAACTGTGCCAATAGAATCCCCTGCAACAAACCAGAGCTAACACACACACTGCCTCCCGGTTCCACGCTGGGCCCGGGGCTAAGAGAACTGTGTATTAGCTTAGTTAATTTTTATGACCCTGTCAGACAGAGGACAGGACAATCTCCGCTTTAGAAAAGATGAAGAACGGTTAAGAGGTGAGACAACTTGCCCCTGGTTGAACCTTAGCTGGGAGGGAGTCAAACCAGGGTCACAGCCCCGATCKGTCAGATTCCAGAGCCCTTGCTTGAAGTCACCACACTCCACTGGCTCCTATGTGCTTTAGTTGTGACAGTCTGTATCAGATCCAAGGTACTGACCTTGGAAAAATCCTATGGCGACACTGGCCCTGTCCCAGTAGGATTGAAACCGAAGGGAAGTCAAACGAAAGTGGACTTTGGTTTGTGTTTATCCTCCCAGGACTTACCCCTGGGGACCTCGCCCGTTAGCACCTCACCCATTAGCATCTCACCCCTTAGCACCTCGCCCATTAGCACCTCCAATCAACCCTCTGGGGAAGGGGAAAACTTGTATCCAAGTTGAAGAAAATTTCTTAGATTTTTATCCTAAGTAGACTAAAAAGGACCTTTCCATTTTAGCTAACCCACTCTCCCACCCCTGTTTCTAGTTCATTAAAAATGAAAGAGACTTAGGTCTCAGAACCCTGTCGATAGCTCYGTCTAGTGGCACCTGGATGCTCCTTTGCACATCGGTGTGGACATGGAGGGACCTCAAACTCAGAAGCAGCTGGTGGATGGCAGGGGACCCTTCCATCCCACCCCCGGTTCCCCCAAGAGAAAGCCAGGAAGAGGAGAGACTTACGTAGGAGGTACTCCGCTGTATCCTGTTCGTAGTCTGCATCTTCAGGGAAGTGGTCGATTTTCTTGCACACTCCTCGGAAAGCCCCTGCGGAAACAAACAGGGTCCTGAGAACCCCAAGGGAGAAGGCCGTTTCCCTGGGGCCCAGCCTGAGTCCTTGACCTCACGGGACCGTTCCTTCCCCTGGTTGTCGGGAAGCTGGGCACAGGGAGGCTCCATCGCATCTTATACAGAACACAAAAAAAGAGACTAGCTGCTCTGACTTGGATCTTGAATGTCCCCCAAAGGTCTACGGGTCCCCAGCCAGTGACATAGTGGGAGGTGGTGGAACCTTTAGGAGGTGGAGCTTGGTGGGAGGAAGCGGGGTCATTGGGAGAAGGCCCTTGAAGGGATTATTGGGATCCCAGGCCCTTTCCTCTGTCTGCTCCCTGGAAACCCTGAGGTGGGCAGCTTTGCTCCAACACCTGCTCCGCCATTTTGTTCTGCTTTGGCACAGGCCAAAAAAATAATGGAGCCAACCAACCAACCAACCAACCATGGACGGAGCCCMAATAAACTCTTCCTGTTTTAAAAGTTGATTTATCTCAGGGTTTTTGTCACAGTGACCTAAAGCGAGCACTCCACTAGAGGCAAGCCATTCWTTAAATAAAAAAAGGAAAAGACTCAAAGATTCTATTTCTTCCATATTGCATGAATATAAGAATATTCCATATTCTTCCATATTGGCATCCACCTTGGAAGAGCAAAAAGAAGTAGGAATATGAAAGCAGGTCTCAGGACACTGTCGGGTCTGACCTCTCCCACAAGTGAAAGGAAAAAGAGGTGGGAATTATGTTTAGTAATTTCTAATCTTCCCATTTTATAAATGAGGAAATCAGGCTTGAAGGATTTTGCTTGAGGGCTGGGGTTGTGGCTTGGTGGTAGAGCGCTTGCCTACCATGTGCGAGGTGCTGGGTTSGATTCTCAGCACTGCATATAAGTCAATGAATAAAATGAAGGTCCATCAACAACTAAAATTATATTTAGTAAACAAATGGTCAAGCCAGGTTCCCAGTCAAGATCTGAATCCAGACATTGTGGAAYATTCTACTTTCTCAGACAATGCTCCTATCTGACCACAGGACTCTCCTGTTCCCAGGGTCACGGCTCCCYGTCCCTTGCTGTGTGGCTCACCCCTTCAGGAACCACAGAATTGGCGAGGAAACATCTCAAAGAAACTGTCAGCCTTTGACTTCCTCTCCTTTTTCTTCAGCATAGATTGGACTTAACTCATTGTGTGTGTGTGTGTGTTTGATAATCATTGTGGGTGTTTATTAACTAGCCAATTAGCCATTCTCTGGGGCAGTTAATGGCTCTGTCAGTTCTTATAAATGACAAACAATATTCAGGATGTCTCATCTGGCCGCCACACAGCATGAAATTATGCGTTCCTGTCCTCTTCCCTGTCTGCAAAGACAGTAGGGAGGTGAGAAAGAGTGTCGTTGTTGGTGGGAGAATCAGACAGAGCGGAGCTTGTGTTTCAGAGCAGTCATTGCATATTAAAAAAAAAAAAGCCACACTCACAAACAGGAGATATTTTTTTTTTTTTTGCAAAGCTGTAGGCACATCATAATAATAGCTGCCAGTTATAAAGTCCTYCTAAGGAGCCAGGCATGTTGGTGAAACCTTACAGTCCTTATCTCACTGACTCTCGCCCCCTGCACCCCAGGAGGTAAGGTCTATTAATATTGACATTTATGACGAGGCAGGAGAGCCACAGAGGGGAATGGAGGTGTCCCAGTCAGTGAGTGGCAGAATTGGTATTCGAATCCAGGCTCCGAAGCCTGTGATTTCATCATTACTCTATGAATAACCATTACTATCATGTCTTCTATTATTATGTCTATTATTATCTTATAATGATAACAGTACTATCTATTTAACCTCTACCATAAGTAGGCTCCCCAGGGACATTTCACGATAATTGCAATGAGCTATGTAAGAACATCTCTTTGGTTCTGATCCCYGGCTCGCCGGGCAAAGAATAGACTTTGAACCAAGGAAAGGATTCAGGAGAGAAGTCTCCAGGAAGTTTCTCGGAAGAAAAGACAAACCTGTATCATCTTCCCTGATACTGGAAAAAAAAAAAAAGGCCTTTCGTTTTTTTCTTGTTCGGATTTCAGAGTTTCCTTTAGGTATTTTGCCTGGATAATAAATCCTCATAAGTAACTTATAGGTTCTCCTTTTACCATGTGCCCCAGGACCAGCCTACGCATTTGATGGGTGAGGAAACCCAGAGGCTTAACAAGGCTGTGGTTGGTAACTGCGTCACTCGAGGGCAGGTCTGGCTGACTCAAGGTCAAGGTTCCTAAGCACTATGGTGACTTGCTCTCCCTGCAGTGGCTTTGGAGTTGCAAGCAAGTCCCCGGAGAGGTGGCTTAGTGGTCCTTCTGTGGTCCGTTCCCCGCTATTGGTGTGGCATGGAACGGCACCAGTCATCTTCCCACCAACTTAGACTTTTTCTATGATGTATTCCAGGGACCCATGGGCAGGTTAGCAGTTCCACCTGATCCACAAAAGATTTCCTGGGCAAGAGAAGGTTCTGGTGACAATGGAATGTGGACCCTCCTCCAGCAGCCCAGTCTGAATCGCTGTGGGAGTCGGGAGCCACGCACTTGCCTGCATCTGCTTGAGACATGGCCTTCCTCGAGATGCCTCCAGGTGGCTTGAACCTGGGACTCAGAACCTCAAATGCCAATGGCTTTTCAAGTCACCGGCACCAGTGTCCTTTCCACCTGTTTCTGTTCAGYCCATGAGCGAAGAATGGTGTTAGTGTACTTAGRTGATTGGGGRAAAAAAAAAATCAAAAGAAGAATATGATTTCATGACACGTGAAAAAACGTGAAATTCAGATTCGGGTGTCGATAAAGTTTTATTGACACCGCTGTACCCATTTATTGACATAGTTTTTTGATGKCGGCTTTCATGCTCCTGTGTCGGAGCAGTGAGGTGTGGCAGAGAYAGCCAAGCTGAAAATAGTGACCCTCTGGCCCTTTTGGAAACATCTTGCTGAACCCTGGTCTGWTGATTTCTGTGTTGTGAAGTCACAAGTGAAAAGTGAGGAGGAGTTGGGCCCTTCCTGAGATGGAGGCAATCATCCAGCCTGGTCCCTCCAAAGCAAATAGTGGTGGGTTTTTAGAAAATCTGGTAGCAGACTGGTTTGGTGATTTTTTTTTTTGTTGTTGTTGTTGTTGTTGTTTGTTTGCTAAATAAATAGTTCTGTGCTTTTCTTACCTGCAAAATTTTATTGCATATTTTGATGCATTTTTCAAAAAATTAAATGTGTCGCTACAATTTAAAAATTCAAGGTATCTCATTCGAAAGCCTGATTGGCAGTTTCTGTTAAAAAAAATGAGTTGCTCCGTCCATCCCACATTTCCATGGGACAACACCCTTTGTAGCTGGGCATCAGCAGCCCTCTTAAGCCTGGGCATGAACTCTCCAATTGGCCAAAGTCCCCAACTTGGGAKGCTTCCCTGTCCCTGTAGATATTTCAGCTCATAACCCCAGAGTCAAAAATGTGGTGAGAACCCAGTCTTCGGAGTCACCCTTTAGAGAGAATCCTGACTCAGCAGCCGCTTACTCCTTGTGGTTGCCTGCCGCCAAGTACCTCTCCAAAACCTCAGCTTCATCTTCTACCAAAGGGAGATAATAATAATAGTCACTCCTGGGAGTTGTCACCAGAATTAATGGCRGCAGTAATAGTAGTTACGGTGGCAGTCGCTGTTCTCGGGACTTTGCACATAAATCTTTTAATCAGGCAATGATGTAAAGCGCTTTTTACAGTCCCTGGCACCTAGTAAGAACTCAATAAATTACAGCTATTACTATCGCCGGTTTGGGTAGGTATTTTGGGTCCGGCAGAGACACATCGGCGACATGGTGAGATTTTTAGAAAGCAATATAAAAGGAAAGGGAAACAGGAATTTCCTCAAGGAAGATTCCACACTGAAAACGGAGCTGCTGGCACCCCAAGCCACACACTCATCATAAAGTGAACTTGGCCATTCCTATGGTAGCATATTGCTAGCTCCCAGAAATAACCACTGTTTTGCATTTTTTAATTTATATATATATATATATTTCCTTTCAGGCTCCCCCCTCCCATCTTGTGCTTTCACACAAAAATGACTTAACAAGATTGAGATCATGCTGTTCTTCTCACATTTTCTTAGGAGTATTTCCCCATATCAGTCCATCCAAGGAAATAGAAGGGGGCTGGATTTCCCACCAACTGCACAGGAAGAAATCAAGAGAGAGGTTGGAAACCTTCAGATGGTAAGGAGCAAGTCAGAACACGGAGATAAACATGGCTAAGGCCCTGGGGCAGAGAGAAGCAAATCAGGAAGAGGACCGAAGGGGTGTGGTCTGGAGACAGAACCCGGGGCTCCAGGGGTGAGGTGATCCCTGGGCAGGCGTGAGAACTGGGCATGAGAACCAACGGATTGCAGGACCTTGGGAAGAGTTTKCGAAAAGGGAGACAGAACCAGAAGAAATTTCCTGAGCAGTTGAGGTATAATCACAGAGCCTGGATTTATGGGTCTAGAGTCTCCCTCTGCAATGAGAATGTGAGCTCTGAGGACCAGAATCTTCTGTTCTGCCCCCCCCCAATCCCTAGGACTCTGGCTGCATCCTAGATAGAAAAGACGATATCAGCAGTTCATCTCCAGCTCCCACAATGGAAGAAAACACCCGTCACATGAATAAGGATGCACCCTTGAACGAACACCCCTTAAYGCCAAACCTTGGAGATATTATTAAAATCAAGAATTAGATAACCCACATCATCACCTCTATTATTTACTAGATGGTCGTACAAGTTCTAGTTAGCATAAGAATTGTGTTGGAAGCAATAATTTAAAAAAAAAATGGAATAAGGGGACCATTTTTTTTTCCAGGTGATAAGCATTCGTCTATTTGGGAAGCTGAAAGCAATTTGGTAGGGAAAAAAATATCAGAATGAATGAAAAAGGGCTTAGTAAAGTGATTTCTCGTGGGATATTAAGTCCTACCCACTAAGCTGCAAGAATTAAGACATTGTGGTACTT